TATGTGATGAAGAAAGCCTGGCAGAAGCTTCAGATTCTTCTTCCTTGGTATCACTTTTTGATTGCGGAGCGTTTTGATCAGAGGCCTTGTTTTTGGAATTCTTGAAACGCCGGCCTCTTTTTGAAGGCGATGACCACACTTTCGGCTCAAAGCAAAAATTATCTTTTGCGAAGGTCATTGGAGTTTGAGCTGACCCGAAAAATGTTGCAAACCTGTAGATTTACGAGCATGATCGAAGTTTCAAACCAGTTCCTGAGGCCACAAAACTGCAGGGCAAGTTGGGTTTTATTTTCTTAATGGGATCCAAATTACTCATTCAACTCACGAACTGTTGCCCAAAGAAGATCCGTTACTTTTTTCTCAATTTTTATGCTCCGGAAATATTTTTTTCATCTAGATTCTGGAGAAAAACCACCAGGCACTGCCGGCAGCACACCAGAAAATTATTTTCAAAAATATAAAAATTGAACATATTCGGTAAGGATGCCAATAATTCACCCTCACTACTGAAAAAATTGATTGCTTAATGGCTCAGAAGTTTTTTTTTAGTGAATTTTAGATCTAAAATTTGGAAAAAAACTGTAGTAATGATTCAATCATAAAATGTTCGTAAATCAGCTGTAACTTTTGAGGGAAATATTTTTGTGCTTTTTCCTCGTCCATTCCGGAAGTTACATATCACAGAAAAGGCAGAATATATCGAATAAGAAATTTGCATCCAAAGAATAAAGAATATGAGAAATATTAGAATTATAATTATAATTTTCAATCGAATGGGATGCATTACAAATTTATCATGAACGCTTCACAATGAGGAAAAACTGAGTAATAAACAAATAATAAACAACAAATAATAGAAATGCTTTTTAGAACTGATATAAGCCCGGCTTGATATTTCCAACTAAACCCTACCTCTTTTCTCTATACTGCATTTTTAAAAATAATTTTGAAGGGAAAGATTCAGAAATAGGTTATATAGTAACATCTACATTTTATTGAATTTTTACAGGTGTCACCTCCTGACAATGTTGGGGTCGGGCATTTGAATATTTTATGACTAACTCCTTTATCATCTGCGGAAGAATAAAAATTTTGTAAATACGTGCGTGAAGTACTCATAAAGAGCAATCTTTAAAAATTAAAAAAAATGGATTTTTGATTTATATGCGTAGTAGAACAGAAACAGAGATTCACCCCGAGGTCGGAGGCACTGGAAGAATGTTGAAGGGCGATTGCATCAACAAACTGGAAGCAAAGTCTTCCAACCCTCGTCCCGTGCTTTTGCTTGGACTCCGGTAAGAAGTTTTGCTACTTTTCTGCGGCGATTTTCCAGGGCTCCCTTTGCCGAAATTCAGGTTTTCCTGCGACCTTGATCGCCTTCCCGAAAACGGCTCCGGGGCTTCGCTGAATTTCCGCCATTTCGTCTTTTGCGCTGAAGAGCCGTTGGTTTTCGCATTCGATTCACAGTTACTCCGCCAACTCAGCGGCTCGTCGTCGTGGGCTTTATTGCCAAATTTCGCTTGAAAAAAAAAAAAAAAATTGGGCAATGAAACAAATCGGCGACTTCTGGTTTTGATTTTTGATAGATTATTTTTCTTTTTTATAATTACGAGTTCGAGACTTGGACTTTCGTTTCTCAGCTTCTTCCTTCGCGAGTCTCGCTTCTTCTTCAGCAACAAAATTTTCCATTTCGTCAGCCCACGAAGTCGCCGACTCAGCTATCACAGGACTTTTCTCCATCTTAATTCGCCGATCATTCGCACGCAAATTTCGCAAAAAGCCTCATGATCGAGAAAAATACTCGAAGCGGAAAACAGTAGTTTCGAAGGGTTTTTCTTTTCCTTTCGGGGAAAACAAAGTCTTCTTCCCCTCCTGGAGTGAGTAACTTGAGAAAAATCGTAACTTATGAGTATAGTAGTGTAGATCAAAGGGATGTTTAATCGACTAGATGACCTTCACAAAGCTCTAGAATTCTTCACCGGGTAGCCGGCGACCATCTTGGAAGGAAAAAGAAATTCAATTGTAGAGTCGATTAAATTGATAAAATTTCGGGGTACTATAGGGAGCTGTTTTGAAGGCTCTTCATCCGAAGAACCATAAATTGGTATTTTATCTTCGGTTTCTATGGCTTCATTATTCCCAATCCGAACATCAAGCCGGGTTCGAATAATAATTGGCTGATGATAGGTAATGATCAGATTTAATTTGCATCGTAAAATTTGCATTCAAAATCCAATGAAAGCGTCCTTCGTCACTATTTTCCGCCCAAATCAAGCACAGTATTTATTAGTCTTGAAGTCATATACTGTATAGATTAGCCATTCTTCAAGACATAAATGCCTCGCTCATAACATGAGATTTCATTTACTTGATGTCATTGACAGCTTGTTTGAGGCTATTGAAAACGTTGAATGAATATAAATCGATACCTTGCCAAGTTTGAAGTCTCCACTGAATAAAAAACAAAAAAACAAGAATACAGGTTGCTCACTTTTTTGGAATTTGGTACTGGTAGGAATTTATATCTTCATTTCATGTTCAGCATGATTGATTGCGATGGTGCGTCATTTCCACGAAAGTTATATTTCAGGAAATAATCATAAACAGGTTAGGAATCTCATGAAAATGTCTTGCTTACATCAAATTCTTTCCAAAACTCCCTGAGCTAGAAAAATAATGTCATTTTTTTATTTAAATTTTTTTAAAGTTTATTTCAGGTCACAATATAGTAGCTCCATTTTCACAAGATTTTAGTGTTCTGACAAAAATCAGGAACAATGACTGGCGAATATCGATCCTGGTAAAAAGTGAGAAAGCCAAACATAAAAAATTTTCGAAATCGTTGAAAAAATTTTCGATACTGAAAAAATACTGTATATATGCGGTATATACTTAATTATCAAAACTTCTGCTTTTTTTGCGCTTTCTCTTGATTTTTGTTTCGCATTTGTGTGACTTTATTCTGCCGCTGGCACAACAACCGAAAAACATGTGTTGAATAGAAATTGTAATATCAATATTTATAATTTCTTTCAAGTACTGTATATTTTTCCAAGTATCATCCGACTGATTTTGGCCCGACTCACGCATCTTTAAGCTCGGCGCTTTTCCTTTGATTGTTGCTACGCATTTATTGTGTGATTTTCTTCTGTCGGGCACAAAATAATCGGATAAAAAAAAATTCAAACTTCAATAGGATACATTACCTTCAAGTACAGTACTGTATATCATTCGACTGATTTTTGACCCGACTCGCGCATCTTATACAGCTCGGCGCTTTTCCTTTGATTGTTGCTACGCATTCGTGTGATTTTCTTCTGTCGTGCACAATAATAATCGAAAAAAAACGTATCGTATAAAATAAGTTCTAAAATAAATAGGATGCATTACCTTCAAGTAAAGTATATCATTCGACTGATTTTTGACCCGACTCACGCATCTTATACAGCTCGGCGCTTTTCCTTTGATTGTTGCTATGCATTTGTGTGATTTTCTTCTCTGGTGCACAATAATAATCGAAAAAAAAAAACGTCTCGTATAAAAAAATTCAAATATCAATAGGATACGTTACCTTCAAGTACAGTAAATCATTCGACTGATTTTTGACCCGAAGACTCACGCATGGTACAGTATTGCGCACTTGGCAACAGACAGAGAGAGAATCCCTGCTGACGCCCAAAAGCCTGATGGACACGCTGATTACGGCAGTCGGTTCCATTTTCAGCAGATGCAACCAGACACCGGCTCATGTTTATTCAACGCACAGCATCACTCAGAAGAGAACAGAGCAAGCATATCTCTCTTTGGCTTTTTTTTCTTCTGTCGCTTTTCTTGCATTTTGTTCCCCTTTTTTTCTTTCAAGGTTTATCTTGTTGCGAGATCAAGTAATAGTGCCAACAAAACGCGTCGCAGGAAAGGTCGCTGTGAAGGAATCGTGTGTGTGTGTGTTTCGATGAAATAGCCTGAGGGGTTTAGGTGCTTGTCACGTCTGTTGCATCACCTGCTGTCTCTGTATAGTATGCTCTAAGTTCTTTGGAATAATATCTTTTTGTGTTGGAGGTTACTAGGCGGCCTCGGGTTCGTCCGAGCGCCAGTTGACCGTCGATCGTTGGCCGAGCAACAACGTTTCTTCCGTTTTTAGTTCAGAGGATTGTTGCAATGCAATGTTGAGTCACTTATTCGAGGAGTTACTGGAACCTTCCGAAAGACAGTTGGAAGTGTTCGCATGCAAAAAAATAATATGGAAGTTCCTGGAAGCGTGGTTGAAAATAAAGCAGAAATTGTGCACAGAACAGCATAAGCGACAGCCATTTTCAATTAATCGATAAAATGTATCAAAGTTCGTGTTTCTAACGCCCATTTCCCTGACATGATGGGGAAAATCTCTTATTACAAAATTCCTCGATTGAAAGGCATACAAATTTTCCGTGAGGCTAAAATTCGACAATTTTTTCCCATCAGAGGGCATAATAAAAAAATGGGCAATTAAAAACCGTGTGTTTGTGGTCGCATTCGCTCTTCTGTTCCATTTTCAAGCACGCACTTTCCTGGTTTTGTAGATTTAAAAAATCTCTTATCGCCGTATTTTACAAATTTTGAGCCGAGAAATCGAAAACTAATATTAAATACGAATGATAAGAGAGTTTCGAACGATTTCGAGTTCCTGAAGGTACAGTTTATGCGCAAGGAATACTCCGAAGCTAAGGATTGTCATAAATCCTTCGAGAAGGATCTTTTTATTCCCGGAATTGCAGCAATTTTTTTTTCGATTTTACGCGTAGAAAATGTAAAACTATTTCCTCACGTATTAGATTCGTGCGAAATTCCTGAGGTAAAATTGCTCAAATAACGTTTTGGGAAATCTTTGCGAGCAAGTCAGGAATTTTTCGATATCGGAAGTGGCTCCGCGTTTTTCTACTCTACCAAAAAAACACAACTTTTAAAGTAATGAAGGTTTCGATCAGTGGGCTTCAAAATTTGCTTGCACAAGATATTCCTGGCTAAATTAGAAACATAAAAACCAACACATTCTTTTTTCAGCGAACTCACCAATTTTTGCAGCAAAAAACGTATTTCATGGGAGATCTTTAAACAATGAGGCATGAAACAAGATGGAACTCAATTGATCCAATTAACACGAAGGTCGTTAAAAAAAAAACTGGCGAAATTCCCAAATGGTCGGAATCGCTTCAAGCAATCGCTGTTAATTTCCTAAACCTTCGGCCTTTCGATGTTCCAAGGAAATGAGTTAAAACTAACAAACAAGCGAAATCAGTTCTTCTGACACTACGAGATATATTTTTTTTTCTTTATTGTCTTGAGGAACATTACACGACTACGTTATTAAAATTTTTCTAAGTGTCCTGTGAAGGTGACCAGCATGTTTTTCTTAATCTGTTTCAGGATCACCGACCAAGTGCACACAGCGAAGAGATGATTGCGTTGATTTCGGGCATGCTCTTGATGAGCTCAGCCATGGCTGTGCCCAGCAGGTACTCGGTGTTGGACGAGGTTCCAGTTGGGGGTTTCGGAATCGCGACATCTCTCGGAGGCGAGCAGAAGTTGCTCATCAAGTCTAATTCGGACGTAGACGGAAACGTTCCGATTGCTCGGCGACACGTGCGTACAATAATCTCTTTACGACTTTCTCGGACAAACAAATTTTATATTTGGAAATTATTTTCATTTGGGACAAAGAATTTAACGGTTAGTGCCGTGAAAGGCGGTACGAAATGTTGATTATTGGTGGTGGACGTCTATTCATCAGGGGACCACAGAAGAACTTCATTATAAAGTGAATTTCGTATTAGAGAACCCGAATAACATGGAGAGAGATCCCAATGTGCCCCGAAAATTCTTCATACTGTACAGATAATCGGTATAGAAGGGAGTCCACCTTTGGTTGAAAATTTGGGATTCAAATCAATATATACAAGGGATTTGTAATTTTAGATTATAAAATCTACGCATGCTAAGTTTCGAAATTTGTTTGTTTCTCTCGTTTCAATGAAGTGATTTCAATATTCCTCGAGAGATAAATTGCGTGATTAAATATGAAAAATAAAACGGTAAATCAACGTATATTCAATTAAAATAAAATATAACGGGAATGGAAATCTCGAAAAAGCATGAGCCACGAAGTGCACCTTATATTATTGGAACTAACCTAGCTCATGTTCTTAAGATCAATCCTTCTAAGTGAGGTCACTTTGAAAAACCGGTGAAAACATCGTAAAATAAAATTCTAAAACAAAAAAGGAGTAGAAGAGTTTTTGGTGGATACAAAAAAAATCATGAAATCATATACTATACAGTACAGTACAGTACTCTCTGTTAATTTACAATTTATTCTTTCTGCTTCGTGTGTGAACGCATATTTATTTTTTCCGTGAAATTTATTGTCAAAAAGTTCTGTCTGTTCAATCAAACACAGCTGACTCAAATCGCCCCTCTGTTAATTTATACAGATGCTATTCAATAAGCGCGCGATACAGAAAAAAAATTAAATGACTGACCTGATTTAAAACAATGTAAACTTTTGGATACACAGGAATTCTCCAACTAACCTAAATTTCGAAGGGTTAAGCAATAATTATCTTTATTCGCTGCTGAAAATTAGGGCGATTGCGTTTACGTCGGGATCCGGGACTAAGTCGCATTTTTGGTTCATGTTCGTCTTTTTATAATTTCAAATTAATTCTTTCGCTCAAGTTCAAAAATTTATTCATACCTTTTTTTTTTAGATTGATGGCAGGAATTCCCGGTCGTTCAGTTGAACGAAGGTGACTCAAATACCGCAGTCAGTTTATAAAGATGCGATTTAATAAGCTTATACGTTGCTGATTAAATTAAATACCCGACACAATTATCATCTGAAATAACTTTTGGATATATTTTTCGAGCGTATCGTTTTCTCCTGGTTCACTGACTGCATCACCAATTAACTCACATTTCGGAACATTAGAAGAATCAGTGGTGTTCCTTCGTTTCCTGTGATTAAAAGGCGATTGCAATCCCATTGGGACTGAAACGCTTTTTCGATTATTTCAACTTGATTTGCTCCTTCGTGTTTGAGGATTTATTCACGATATATTTTCAGGCTGATGTCACTCACGAAGTTCCGGTCGTTCGACCAGACGAAGCCGACTCAAATAGCCCAGCCGTCAACTCAGTTGCTTCTCATCACGAACCAGACAACAGCCCGGGAATTGAGAGATCCTCACCGGAAGAAGCCAGCAACAACAGCCCTCATCAAGAAGAACCCGAAAAGGCAAAACACCAAGAGCCAGCAGAAGTGTCACCCATTATTGCCCGAGATCATCATGTGGTGCATGATCATCAGGAACCCGAGAAGGAACCCCAAGTGCTGGCCTCGTCAACCACGACTAAACCTGCGCCGGTTTCCGAGCCCAGAAGGGCCAAGGCCGTGTTGTCGGGTCCGTCGGCCCACGGGGAGATTATTTTTGATCAAGCAGGGCCCAGTGAACCCGTGCGCATCACCGGAGAGGTCAAGAACCTGACCCAGGGTCTCCATGGGTTCCACATCCACGTTTACGGCGACGTTGGCCGGAATTGTGCTGCTGCTGCCGGGCACTTCAATCCGCATCAAGTGAGAATTTTTTGCATATTTTATTATGTTTTATTTTTTATTTTAGCATCATCGATAATTTTATCTGAAACATCCTGTTATTTTCGCGAAAGAACATCATTTGTTCAATTAAACTGAGATGGAATGGGTTGAGAAAACGTTTCCTGTTTTATATCAGTAGAAAATGTCTTCGCATTGAATCGCAGGGAGATGTTTAAAAATATAAATACTGTATATGCATAAAACCTGCAGTTCACCTGAAATGATATCCTTATCGAAGATTGTAAATCCAATGAAATGCCTGCTTTATGATTTTTCTCGGAAGTAAAATGGATGGATATAAGTGCTTTCAAAAGCGTAAAACCGAACCCTTTATGCAAATTCAAGCAGTATTCTTTCCACTCCTCGGTGAGTTTTAAAATATTTTAATATTCACCATAACCTTCCGATTGCTGACTTGATGTTGAATGATGTGAATCTTCGCAGGAGATAATCGTTGGATTTGCATGAGATGCGTTCGAGTGTTTTTTTTTTTTTTTTGTTTTTTTTTTTTTTTTTTTTTTTTTTTTTTTTTTACATCAACACGAATCTTCTATGATCGTCAATTTGCTTCGAAAAAAAAAAATCTTCTCTGATGGTAATAGCATTGGCGAATTATTGACAACTCAAATATTATGCCCCTTCAAATAAATTTTGTCTTTGATCGATCGCCAGCAAAAAGATTGAAATTTCGGTGAGGTCTGAATTTTGAAAAATATAAGAACAAAAAGTGACATAACTTATTTCTTGCAAACATTAGCTTGATACAAGGGTTATTTTCATTTTTTTTTGAAGAATAGGAATAAATTTCCTCATATATACAGTACTTGATTTGCATGTCATCTTTTTTGTTGAAACCCCAAATTTCGTTTAACTTCCAACCCTGTGACACCGTCACAAGAAACCCCAGAAAACAATTCGAAGTGGCTTGTTGAGGATTTATGACTCAGCCTACGTATTAGAGTAATTTCAGGAAAGTCAATCGACGACATTCAATTTCTGTAATAAATTTTCTGTACTGTATAAATGTTGTCTTGCAGCTCAAGCACGGAGCACCTTCGGCAAACGAGCGACACATTGGCGACTTGGGCAACATTCGCGCTGACGAAACCGGCGTGGCCCGCGTTGAATCCCTTGACCCGCTAGTGACCTTGTTCGGTGACCATAGCGTATTGGGTCGAGGAGTGGTTGTGCATGCCGGTGAGGATGACCTGGGTCTCGGCGGCGACGAAGGAAGTGCCACGACCGGAAATGCGGGCGGAAGAGTCGCCTGTGGCGTCATCGGCATCGTCGATCCCGTCGTCGTCAAGACCAACTGACGAACTAAAAAAGCTGTCCCAGTTTTTTGGGCGGGGCGGGTTCCAGCATGACGAGGTCGAACTATACGGGACCTAAATTTCGATTTTTTTTTTCAAATGTTTTCGAGATTGTGTCTGGAATGTAATTTCGCTTGATTGAAGTACAGTATATGAAATATTTCGAACGAAAAACAAAAACTGCGTTTATTCAATTTTCAAGGATTTATTTTGACAATACCCAAGCACAAATTCTCTTGGCTTTTCTGAACCTATTGCATTTCTGGTTGGATTTTTGACTGTTTCGAGTTTAAGTCACTCATTTTGTTTGTGATGATTTCCTCCCTGTCTTTATTTGGTTAAGACGATTTTGAAGGTAGATGAAAGTCGGGCTCATTTATAAAAATAAAAAAAAACTGAATAAGCCGAATAAAGGCTTCGGGAATTTTCTTCTTGAATGCATTTTCTCGCGGCAAAATTCTTTTTTCACAATTCTTTTCGGAAAAGGTATAATTTTTCTGCGTCGATTTGAAAGCGCAAATAGTGTCGTGCTAATTCATTCTCTGAGTCTGACAAATCATTTTTGAAAATTTCTGACTTAAGAATTTCGCCATGTTCGAACGCGTAATTTATTAAAAAGTTTTGGATTTTAAAATTACAACTTTGGTGAGCCAAAGGCCTTCTAATTAAGGTACAGTCTCGTATTTATACAGTATTTTGGAAATGAATTTTGAAACAGCTTCTCTTCGTGGTAATTCACGTTTTATTGTCACGCATTTATTTCATTTTCATGTTTTCAGGCACCACTACGTCCGTACGAAACGGAATTGGCACATTTTTCGAGACTTGTTTCAATTCTATTTCGCGATATGAATCGGAATTTCGACATTTGTTCGAGCTTGAGATTAAATTTTTCAAACTCATGCATGCATATTTCCAGGGTTCCTTGTTTAAACTGGCTGATTGACGCAACTTCAGTTGATGAAATTTGACGATAATAATTGCGATAAGGCCTTTCATAACGGGTATCAAATTGACGCTTGTTCACAAGGCAAGAATCAAGAGTGAGTGTTGTGTTGATCCTTGGCTTGTTGCTAAAAATGCCATTGGAAGTACAATCTTTTAAAATAGAGATACAGAAATTCCTTTCCGCAAATTTTTCTTCGCGGTTTTATTTGTAGGCCCAGAAGAATCGATTATATGGCTTATTGAACAAGAACTGCTGATCAGTGATTCAAAACTTAATTGAATTGAATTGAACAGAAAGCTTTAGTTTTCGCTTTTCAGCGTTTCACGAGTTTCAAGCAACGTTCAAAATTTCGAAAATGCTCGCAATCCTTCGTGATTTTGACTACCCTTCCTGGAGAAAATTTTTCTGCGCAGATTTTAATGTATCGGTCAGCTTTTGAACATTTATTTTATTTGAGATATCGTTTTATTGTTGGAGTCTATAGTTAACACTCTTGAGAAATATTTTCTAAAGATCAACTTTCTTTCAACAACGAAATTCAAGGGCAGGAGTAAGATTTTTTGCAGACAGATGAATAGCAGATATTTTTTTATTTTCCGTTTTCATTAACTCAGCAATGAATTTATGCAAACAAAACACATTTAGAACATTGAGCTACGCTCGGTTTTCGTGATTGAGGTACAGCTTTTTTAATTTCAAAAATATTTTGCTTTTAAAATTTTACTTCAACACTCAAACGGACTTGGTCTATTTCAGTCCTATTCTTGTGCAAGTGAACATGAAACATTTTGCCACGGTACTTTTAACCCTGACCCTTTTTGGCTGTGCCATGTCGCAGTGGGTCAATGACCTCGATGGAACCCTGGATTTCAACTGCCCGTTCGGAGAAACGATTTCCCGAGTCCAGGTTCTTGTTTATTTACTTGAAATTCTCGTGTGCTTGAAAATAATTCCCAGAGCTTTGATTCAATTTCAAGAGCATTCATGACAACGACTCCGAGGACCGACTTTGGGCATTCGAATGCAAGCCGATTCCCATTGACTCGTCGGATCTCACGTGCCAAAACAGCGGTTATGTCAATGACTTTGACGAAGAAATTACATTTAATGTGAGAATTTTACTCAAGTTTCACCCTTCTACTTATTGGAAATACGTTTATTATTGTGGAAGATTTCTGGCGATGTTTCGATGCACAAGAAACCAAGACGGTTCTGAAAGCTGCCTTTTTAACTTAATACCTCATTATTATGCTGATGAAACAAACGAAGAAGCTTGCAAGGGTTTGAATAACGAAGAACTAGTACATTTGAAGGGTGCTGTACCAAAATGTGAAGAAAAAAAACGAAGGCAATTTACAATTAGAGTGACGACTGCTCTTGGTCTATTATTTACGTCGAGTGACGTATCCTTTTAGTGTGAGTAGATGTCGCTAACAATCGCGGATATATCCTCATTTTGCGTGTGACTTCATCTGCTCTTCGTTTCTTTCTTTTGTCGTGAGTATCAAAGCTACGTTACGAAACATTAGTTGATCGTATTCGAATTGAAATTTAACATTGCGAAGACCAGTGATTACATTTGTTAATATGCTTGTGCACATTGATGAAGCAGAATATTTTATTACTTCCTTCCACAAGCAACGAGAATTCAGAAAAACTGATTCATTCAAACTGAATTCCAAATCAATTTTTTTCATCCGTTCATACTATGATTGGTACTTGTCATCAAAAAACCTGCCCTCGAAAAAAAAAATTTAATCGTATGAAAATGAAGGTATTTCAAAGTACAATATTTAATTCAACGTTTGAAGTAATTAATTAATTTTCTGTATGCTTTGAAATATTTTTACAACCAGATCTTGAGCGTAACTTCACTTTTGATCTGCTTGTGCATATTAAAAAAAAAAATTGCTTTCCATCAAAAGTATACGATGACTCGTTTTCTTGGTCATAATATGTATTATCGGGTCCCTCGTCGAAACAGTCCGATGCATATTTTAAAAACCCAGTACTGTACTGTACTGTACATCCCATTTTCCATTGAGCCTGTAGCTGGCTATAATCATCTAACAATAATTATCTTTTTTTCAGTGTCCATTTAATGGAGTGATCAGTGGGACTCACAGTGAGCACAGCAACCACGACGAAGACAGGAGATGGGACTTCAAGTGCTGCGAAGCTTTGAAGTACAGTACAGCATTAAAATTCGCCAAAAGTCGCTGGAGAATCAATTCATTTCTTGTTTTCATTTCGCTCGCAGCTATTGCACAACAAATTGCTACTTCACCCCCGAAGTGAATGACTACGATGGACCCATGGATTACACTGTGGATACTGATTACTACATCAGTGGTGTTGCCAGTCATCACGATAACGGGAAAGAGTGAGTACCAGGAATAAGATAAGCAAACCATGACCTTTTGCAGTGAATGAAACAGCATCTGCTGCAGACGACCTTTCAAATGCTTGATGAGAATAATTTGAATACGCCACGAGCTGAAGCACGCATTTCGTTGATTATGAATGAGAAAAAAAAACAACTGATGGCAGGAATTGCGAATGCATTTCGAAATACTGTATTTTTTCACTGGATATACGAGATCTCATTTCAGAAGTGTTGACAGTACTACGTATATTGAAATTGATTTATTTGGGTACCCCAAGTTTTGAGTCAGAATCCTGCAAAGCGAAGACGGTTATCTAAAATAAAGCACTCGAATTTTCCTCGATTTTTAATCCTAACTTCTTTGACGACGTATTGATCACAGTGAACGGAAATTTTATTGCCGACTCAACTCTCAGTAAAACGAATGCAAATAAGAAAGGCTAGATAATACAGTACTGTACTATAATTGCTAACAATAATGCCTGCTCTCCAGATGTAGTCAATTTTCAAATACTTCATGCAATAAAATATTAATGCATGTAAGACTATGCAGCAGATTTATATCATAGATTTTTGTGTGAGCTTATTTCTGCCAGAAGAGTGTATTTTCGCAAGTGCTCTCTTCACTTTTGCAATCGTGGTGTTCAGAATTGGAGAAATGTTAGAAAAGGATAGGAAAAAATTGCTACATACTCGTGTATGATACATAAAAATCACAACCATCTTCCCTCTTTCAAAATGTCGCCAAAAAAGGATACTCATGAATCAATGATTCACCAAAAAAATCTTTCTTTCATTCCAAGATGAGTTAATTCACCTTTGACAGCTTTCAAGGTAATTCTATACATTATATGCTGATGCAACTTTAAGTACCGCGATTTATATATAGCGAAAGAACCTGAATTACCGTCAAATAATGACGTTTAAAACATATCGGCATTTTATTTTAACGTCACTTTTTTTAGAGCAATGAATGATTTCGGTGTCAGTTTTTTCAATTTTTTTTTTCCAAGTATTCATTATCATCATTTAATTTTGCAGAGATCGCCGTTGGAGATTCTTCGTTTGCAAAGTCATTACTTGCGGCGCGAATTAAATTGTGTTTTGTCAAAGGGAGAAAATGCATTAAAATCCTGATCCCCATGTGCACTAAGCTTGAAATTTTTTATTTTTTATTTGATAAACGCGCTCTTTTGTCGAAGTAACAAAACTGTCGACACAGAACATTTCTTCTGGCAGCTAGATGTCGTTAGTAGTTCCCTTTGCTGCCGCGTCTGCTTTCACCCAATGTCTTCTCCGCGGTTAATGTTCCAAAATTACAGCCTGGTTGGACGTAAATCACGGGGAAAAAAAGGCAAGTTCACCAACGAGTCTTCGTCCGAATCTGAATGAGGGTGAAAATATTTGAGGGAAAGTTCCGCATGTGTTCTAAAAATAAGTCGGGTATTAGTGGTCTGGCAATGTGCACGTGATTACAACTTTCCGTTGACTGGTGTGACAGCCAAATTCTTTCGTTTCCTCTTGAAATCCACCGGTGATCCACTTCAAGTGCACACATGAATAAATTCCGTGGGATTCATGGAGACATTTGAAGCTGACTTGGAAACAGCATGTCCTTCAATCCATCATAATTTTTGTAAAGTCAGCAGCAGTAATTTTCAGGCGAAAATGAGGCCCAACAGCCGAGACATTTCTGATCAACGGGTTTTTCCTTTCTTGACTTTTGGGGATTTTATTTATTTTTTTAATGCAGACCATTATATTCCATCTTCGACGCAATTATTTTCAAATAGGAGTATCGTATTCATTGATCTTTCTTTCGATAAATATTTATGCAGGGACAATGCATTCATCAACGATTCTCTCATCCCATGAATCCCGTCCATGATTGCCCAGATAATTCATGAACGACTTTCCAAATTCGACTTTTGTTCTTCCTCAACTTATATACAAACACGTGTGAGAAGAAAAAGGACCCCAAAAATTTCCTCGCATGCAGTCCCAACCGGAGTCATTTGTCCAATTATTGCGTCTCGAGGAAGAATGAATAGAAGAGAATGGGAAGATGACGCCACTGCTGAAGCGTGGGAGGGGGATGTAAAATAACCTGAGGGTATTTTACGACGAGAGAATCTCTGATGGACGAACGATCCGAGACCGAGTCAACGGAGGTAATTATTTATTCTGTGTGTGTTTTTTTTATTTATTTATTCTGGTTTGGCTTATTCAGCACGTAAACGTAGGGAAACGAGAGCCGGGCCACGACAGGCTGATCGTTATTCGAAAGTGAGATTCACTTGACCCAGGGTCCATTTCGCAGAAGATCACGGGTCGAGCGGTTTCCCTCCGGGTTCTATACTCGTGTTTGATCCCCCGGCATCATGATGATTTTCCTGTTGAATGAACTGCTGCGCTGCGAGAGCACATTTTTTAAGCGAAAACACACGAAAGCAGAGAAACGTGCTTATTAGCTTACGCTCTTTCACGCTAATTTATGTTTATTTTAAAGAAAGAAAGTGGTCTTATCTGTTAAGAGACACGTAGTCGAACTTAGAAGGTGACTGAGCCAAAATTAAATTGCGAAAGGGTAAAAAAATGTCACAGATCATCATCAGCCTTTGCGGGTATCATGCGCAAAAATTCAATGCGAAAATATTCAGTACCACACTTGAGGGCGATTACTCAATTTTTTTGAGTATGACGAAATAATAATGAAGGAGAGGGGAAAATGAGCCATCGATGAATAATTGATTGGGCCTAATCTCGGTGTTTTGGTGGTTAGTTTCTTATTATTTTAGCTATCTTATGTGAGGAGTACTGTTTATGAACATAATCTTTTGAGCTCTTTTTAGGAATGTTCTGCAGGAAATCAGAGATTTTCCGGATATGTTTCTCCCTCAGGAATAAGGATTAAAAAGAGACTTGTATGGAAGTGTGCTGCTGTTTTAAAGAATTTCACGAAAAAAAAATTCCTTCCAAATCATAATGTTGAACAATATTTGGGGAGTTTTTAAACTCAAGTGAAGCAATTCAAATAAAATGCTTCAGAATTATTAAAACGTACCGCTGTTCCAAGACACAAGTACGAACGTTTTTATTCGAAATTGACTACATTTGAGGAAATGGGAGATTTTTCAAACGTCACTGCTCAAAAATCTCTCGTCATCCATGAAACGACTCAATCTAGGAAACAGCATGTTCCATATTTCATGAAGGACGATTGTAATCCTTATTTTTAGAAAGGATTGTGAGTCGAGTGCTACAAAATAATTCACTTTTATTTTGTACACCGGAACAACAAACAGAAACCAAACACAAACACAGTCTGGTGAGAGATATTCTAAGTTAAATCTTGAATAGAAATTTTAAGCCTATCTTCTTGAGTCAGACTTTGGTCTTATATGAGACTCAGATAATTTACCTCTTGGTGGTAAATTTATCTGAGACGTGTTATTGTCTGTGTCCTCTCCTTTTGTGTGTTACACTCGTAACAAGTGTAATGTGATTAGGGATCAAGGAAAAGGTCAACCCACAACAATTGGGTTTGCTTAGAACCACCATTTAAATAGACTCTGCACAATAACAGACACAGGAGAGGAAAACACACAATGTGAGCATTGTTCACATTACACTAATGGGATCAAGGAAAAGGTCAACCCACAACAATTGGGTTTGCTTGAACAAGGAAATGTCCACCTATTTACTTGAATACCAAGTAGATCAATCTTCCCTGGCTCAAGGAGAGGAATGTTAATCAAAGCATGAGACAAAGGGAATATCTATTCCCTTTCTCCATTCTTCTTCCAAATAACATCAGGACATTTCCTGATGTTTAACCCATGCTCTCAATACAAATGAGGAAAAGGTAAAAGGGGAATAAAATAAGTAAAGCACTATTTTCGGGATAACAGAATCACCCCTGGCAATAAAAAAAAAGGTTCCACCCTTTTTAGCACTCAGAGAAATAAGAAGCAAGAGCTCGTACATCAAGTGAAAAACACAAGAGCACAGAAGTTCTCCTTCTCCACATTCTCTTAAGTGGCGCTTAATAGCGTCACGGGTCTGGTAATGTCAATTACCGAACCCAGAAGGGGGAATGGCAGGATGTGAAGCTGCCGGCGCCGACTTTTTCGGCAGTTACTGTGGAGAGGCGGAAATCAGCAGTTCTTCAGAGGAAGCTGAAATTTTTATGGTAAGCCTCTGTTAATGCCAGGATGTTGTGCAATTAATTTTGAAATTTTCGGGCTATTACTTTTAGATTTTCGTTCGAGACGACGACGGGCACCGGATCGAGCAGAGTTTTGGAAGTGATGGGTCTCCTGAAGTAGGGGTGGACAAATCATTGTTTTCGCGACCGTTCTTTTGTGCTAGTGATCTCTGTTAGGCCTTGTGAGTGACTAGCAAATAGTCAGGAGTGAATTTTTGCAAAACTGAAAGGTGAGTAAAAATAAAAATCGCGAAATCTCGTAGAAGCTAAAACACGCGTTTGTCGAAATGTTCACAGATGTCGCTGCTGAACGTTGTTGTGCTGGGGTTGCTGGTGGCTGTGTCCGGGACGGACGGGAGATGTTGGGTCGGTGACGCGGTGTTGAAGTGCGACACGGCGTGTGAGGACGACGTCGGACTTGCGGCGGCGTTTGGCGAGTCGATAACGTTCGTCGGGGACACGCTTGTGCTGGACTGTGTCCGGCAGGCGGGGCTGCAGGTTAGTGTGCAGGTCAGGCCATAATTGCAGGTGACTTCAAGAAGGATTTGATGTGTCCTTCCAGGGAGTGTGGCTAGGAAAGCCAGTCACGTGCGTCGGGAGACGGGACGGCATGGACAAGGTTGTCATGCCTTGGGACTTTTGTCAGGAACCAGCAAAGCCAATCATGGCAGCACCAACAGGTTGGTTGAGTTCTTTGGTTTGTCAGATCAGGAACATTCAGCAAACAGAAAAAGACAGCAGAAGGAAAAGTAGATACACAACATAAAACAATCCCACTTTTCCCATTAAATTTCTTTTTGATTTTCGTTAGCTTTTTTGGCTTTTTTTTGTCAGTTCAGGAACATTCAGCAAACAGAAAAAGACAGCAGAAGGAAAAGTAGATACACAACATAAAACAATCCCACTTTTCCCATTAAATTTCTTTTTGATTTTCGTTAGCTTTTTTGGCTTTTTTCTTTGGTTTTTTCTTCTTTTCTTCACATAAAAAACAAAACACAAAACAACAAAAAATCCCGGTGTATTATTTTAAAAGCCAATATTATTTCAATATTTTTTCAGTGCCCGCTCCAGAGACCGTTGGGACCACTACAACCACCACTGAGATGCCTAAGGTGGTTCCACAAAGGGTGCCTGTTGTCACCAGGGCGCCACAAATAGTAGTGCCTGAAATTGTGGTGACGCCTGCCAGTACAGGTGTAAAAAGTACTACTAAGGCGGACTTCTCCATTCATGTTAAGGATGGGGTGGCTCATTTAGAAGCCAATTTAGATCCCTGGACTGCTTTGGAGATTCTTTTCATGGTCTTGGGCGGAGCTGGGGCCACTTCTGTGGTTGGATTCTTGGTCTGGCTGATAAAATACATCAGAGCCAAAGTTAGTTTCCTTTTTTCAATTTTTGTAAAAATAAAATACAAGTTCTAATTGTCAACATTTTTTGTGCACCTGATTTAACAGCCTTTGATTTTTTGCTTGCTGCTTTCTTTCTCTTTGTGCATGGTTGTATTTAGAACCGTAGTAAAAAGGATAAAGAAGCTGCCTCTAAGAAAGATTATGTCTTGGATACTCTTCCACCCATTAACTTTAATGAAATTGGGGAGGATGAGTTTGAAGTCTTTTCCCGCAATTATGCAGACATAAGAGCAAGATCTCCAAGAGAAAGAAGAAAGTCCGTTCCATTTATAATCACGTACATTTATGTTTTATAAACGTACTCGTCAATAATTGTATATACGGACGAGAAGAAAACGAAAACGAAAACCCCGATTGATATGAATGTCACCAGGTCCATGAGGAACCTGCTCAACCAGATGGACAACAGGACACTGTTACTCACGAAACTAGGTCAACCTGTTCTCCGACCTCGACTTGTCTTCCACCTACTAGAAAACCCTGACCTCCTTCTTGACGGTCCCTGATTAGGGAAGTCTCAAATCGGACGAAATTCTA